TTGAAGTCTACTGGCTACACTGTGCACGCATGGGGAGGGGAGGATGGGAATGGGTAAATGAAAGAGTAAGGAGATGGGGGGACAATGATGGATTATGCGCGACTTGAGGGTGATAGGACAAAATGGGGCCACTAGGACAAGCAGTGGGAAGCCCAGGAGGGGCCAGACGGAAATGCCAGTGAAGTGGGTGAGAGAGTGAGAGAGGTGGTGCGTGATGGGAGAGGAAAATAAATGAGATATTCTAGACAGTCACAGGGCAGTCAGCCTCAGAGCATGCAGCACGTAAAGAGTTTTGGACACTTGAGAATGCAGCTGATCATTCCTGTGCCAACAAACACAGCCGAATTACCTGGGAGGGAGTCACCTGAGGGTGCCCTGAGGGTGACCGTGAGCCCATGTCCCTCTCACCTGCCCCCAGCAGCCCCGTTCCACCTCCACCCCGCCTCGCCTCGCCTCGCCTCACTCGGGAAAAACCTCCCTCTACCTCTGCTCGTATAGGGAGGGGATTTGATGTGCTTATGGGGTTTCCTTGGTTGGGGACTCCTTGGGACCCTCCCTCTCGTCCTCCTCATCCTCCCCTACCTGGGTTCTAGCTACTCCAACTTTCTTGTGTGGTTCTTGGGAGAACAATTGTGATTGAGTGAAGGTTATGTGGCAGCATACCCCCCAGTGCGCCGAAATTGATCACTCACGTTTTACTTCACCTCTTGATACGATTCAACTTGGGAATAGTAGCTACGGTCCAGTGCTACAACAGATCCAAAATTGGTGAAGTTCCAACAGTGCGCTTTTCGTCGACGACGTTTATTCTGAAGTCGACAATTCTGTCCAGAAATGAAGTCCAACGATTTTGAGATAATTCGGCCCTTAATCTACATAGACTCTGTCCTTAATCTCTAACAAGTGGCATCAGAGCAGATTAAGGACCTTTTGAAGAGTCCACTGAGGTGTGAAGACTATCTTAGACCCACCATGGCCTGTGGGCGTGCCTAAGTGGAGTTCTAGAGGTTGGATGTGACTTCCGCTACAGGGAAACTCTGCCGAATTTCGTTGGCGCCGACACTTGTGAAAATATTGTGAGACTTCGGTGTGGAGAGCAAGGGGGGAGCTGAAATTTGCGATTGGGAGAAGAGGAGATGAATCAAGGAAGTGGAGATGCAGCTGAGAAGAGGAGTGAACCGCCACCATCCAAGATCAAAGCTTTGGATGGCTCCAATTATGAGGAATGGAGAGGGCGGATGAGGAGCGCCTTCAAGCGCTACAAGCTGCTGAAAATTGCGATGGGGGAAGAGAAGATGCCGGAGGAAGGAGATGCCCGCGATTGGTGGATTGAGAAGAGCGCAGTGCTGTTTGACCTTATCCTTCAATCGGTCAACAACGACATGTTCCAGCATATCAAGGATTTGGTGGAGCTAGATGACTCCAGACCGAAGGCGTGGAAGCTACTACGCGACGTGATTCAGCCCAACATGCTGCCGATGGTGATTGTGTTGGAGAAGGAGTTGGCTGCCCTCTCCATGCGACCGGGCGATGATGTGAAGCTGGTCCTTGACAAGATTAAGGACACCTATGCGCGGATGGCAGCGGCGGGAAGCAACGTGTCGCATATGCAGCAGTGCACCAAGATCATCTCGGTGCCCAAACAATCCGTGGGACAACCTCATCCCCACCCTCAACACTCAGCAGGACCAGTGGACACCAGAGTGGCTATGGCAGCAGATTCTGCAGGAGGACTTCCGCATGCGCCACACGGGAGGTGGTGCTGCCAACAATACTGCTGAGGGGTATGGAGCTGCAGGAGGCAGCCGAGGAAGAGGGGGTGGCCGAGGCCAATGCCGTGGGAGAGGCTTTGGCAGAGGGAGAGGCCAAGGTGACTGCAACGAGGGACATGGGAGCTCTGGTGGCATGTTGGTACTGCAAGGAGGCTGGACATCCGTGGTTCAAGTGTTTCAGCCGGCCTGAGGGATGGGCGCCTCCAGGCATGAAGCCGCCAAGTGGTGAACGCGCACGAGGTGGCACTGTGCAATGTTCAGGTGCACAAGGTGATGGTGCACAAGGTAAAGCCTCCCCTGGGATGTTCCTCATGGTTGAAGATGTGAATGAGAGTGAGGGTGATTTGGGTTCGGTTGGGAAGGTTGTGATGCACCCCCTCACTCACTGGGTGATCCATTCGGGTTGCACAAGTCACATGACCCCACGGGCAGATTTGCTTGACGAGGTAAAGCCCCCTGGGAAGATAAAGTTTGTGGCTGCCGCTTCAGGTGTTTTGCTCCCTGTGATTGGTATTGGAAATTCCAAGGTGATGGGAGCCAATGGGGAGCTTGTGGGGCTTGGGAACGTGTTATTGGTTGAAGGTTTGTCCGCTAACATTCTTTCTGTGCGCCGGCTGCAGAAGAGCAAGGCCAAAGTGACCTTTGGCCCACCCAGCTGCCGTGCAAAACTTGGGAAGATGCTACTGTGGAACCTGAAGGAGAAGAGCAGCTGCATTAAGGACCTGTGGCAGCTGCCAATCATCCCTTGGAATGGGAAACCTCCAGCAACGGCAGCGGCAGCAGCAACAGCCAAGGCAACTGCGGGAAGAGAGGAGACTGCACCAACTGCTGGGGCCCTGGATGCAGTCAAGAAGGTGCAGCAGCCACAGCAGTCACATGGTGAGGTGCTTGCTGGTGTGGATGGGACAGCTGCATGGGCAAATGCTTCATCTGGGAGTGGTGAAGCTGATTGGGAAACGTGGCACGAGAGGTTGTGTCATATCAACATTCCTATGCTGCAGAAGGTTGTGAAAGATGGGAGCTTGAAGGGGATGGAGGTGAAAGGGGCAGCGAAGGAGATTGGGAGCTGCCCTACATGCCTTGAGACCAAGTTAACCAAGTTTCCCTTCAGCAGCAACACGGGTCCAGCTAAGGCCCCACATGCGCTTGTGCACATGGATGTGGTGGGGCCTACGAGGGCCCTTTCTCTCTCGGGCAGCGGCTACTTCTTAACCATTGTGGATGACCATACGCGTGCTGTGTGGGTGTACCCTCTCAAGACTAAGGGGGAGGTGGCAGCGGCTGTTCTTAAGGAGTGGATGCCGAGAGCTCAAAGGGAGAGCGGACACAAATTGAAGATGATCCGCACTGACAATGGGGGAGAGTTCATCGGCGCTGATTTTGAGAAGGACCTGAAGCGGAAGGGGATCCAGCATCAGCTCACAGTACCCTACAACCCTCAGCAGAAAGACATGGCTGGGCGGTTCAACCGGACCCTGCAAAAAGGTGCACGCACTCTCCTTGGGCGCGCAGGGCTGCCAGATCCATTTTGGGTGACTACAATGCGGCAGGTTGCTCTTGTGAAGAATAGGGTGCTAGCGATTGTGGGGGACAAGCACTGGGTCTTCTACACCAAATGGTATGGGAGTGCACCAGCAGTCAACATGCTGGGAGCCTATGGCTACATGGTGGTGTTTCATGTGCTTAAGGAGAAGAGGGGAAAGCTGGAAGCTTCTGCGAGATGGGGTGTGCACTTGGGGATTGCAAAGGACCACAAGGGCTGGCTCCTATGGGACTTGACCAGCCACAAGCTGACTATTTCGAGGAATGTGAAATTCCTTGAGTCACTGTACTGCAAGGAGTGGAAGCAGCAGCAGCAGCAGAAGCTTCCTACTACACCGCTGATCATTGAGGCCGATGAGGTGCAACGGTCTTCGAGGCTAGTGGAGGGTTTTGTCTCTGAGGAGGAGATCTATGGGGTGACTGAGGATGGGGGAGAACCTGAGGATGGGGGAGAAACTGAGGTGGAGCAGCAGCAGCAGCAGCCACAACAGCAAGGTGCTCCACCACGCGCTCCACGTCCGCCTGAGCATCCTAGGAAGGATGTGCGCCCTCCTACCAGGCTGACCTATGCGAGCCGTGGCACGCCAAGTGTGGTGCCAGCTGGGAGTGTGGCTGAACATTGTGATGAGGATGACATAGCCTACTGTTATGGGGCTGCTTTGAGAGGGTTTGGAGGATAGTGTCATGAGAGAGAGGCTTCAGCGAGGTGCTGCATGTTTGAGCAAATGGAGATGTGTTTGAGATGAGCGTTGAAAGTGAATGAAGATTGCTGGGATGAGAGTGTTTTGGGTACGCATGCTTGAGCTATGGCATGTGGGATGATGGTTGGCAGCCAGAGGGGGATTTTGTTGTGTGATGCTATCATATGCACGTCTGTCTGCCTCCCATCATATGTTCGTGTGTTTCATGCAAGGTGTGAGCGTGTGCATGAATTTGTGTTCGGTGTTGCTTGGATTCTGTGAGTATGTATGAATGTCATTTTGCTTGAGCAGATAACCGAAGTGACTCATCTGTTAAAGAGCTATCTGTTAACGAACCAAGAATCATCGTTCGAACGAGAAAGTTATGATCGTTCGAAGTTTTATTGTGAAGCGGCGAATATGGGAATTTGTGGAGTGACTCTATATGGGGTATAGACTTTTGAGGGGTTGAGAAATTCGTCACTTCTACTGTAGATGATGCCAAGTGGTTGGGACAAAACCAAATTGGGTTGGCAAGTGTGGCCAACTTGGGTGAGGTAGATTTGGGAGGTTGGGAAAGGGTCAAAAGTAAAAGTGGGGTTGCTATAGGGAGGGGATTTGATGTGCTTATGGGGTTTCCTTGGTTGGGGACTCCTTGGGACCTTCCCTCTGGTCCTCCTCATCCTCCCCTACCTGGGTTCTAGCTACTCCAACTTTCTTGTGTGGTTCTTGGGAGAACAATTGTGATTGAGTTTAGTTTATGTAGCAGCATACCCCCAGTGCGCCGAAATTGATAACTCACGTTTTACTTCACCTCTTGATACGATTCAACTTGGGAATGGTAGCTACGGTCCAGAGCTACCACATATCTAAAATTGGTGAAGTTTCAACGGTGCTCGTTTCGTCGACGACGTTTCGTGTAAAGTCGACAATTCTGTCCAGAAATGAAGTCCAACGATTTTGAGATATTTCGCCCCTTAATCTACATAGACTCCGTCCTTAATCTCTAACACCACTTAGTCATGTGAGACCCCACAGGAAAGTTGCAATCAATTGCTATGAGCACGTAGGCATGGCCGGCGCCCACCAGTGTTGTGTTGTGAGGGTACCATGGAAGCATGATGCCGTCGCGAGCGTTGTACCCAGCAGCGCCCATGCTGTACCCAGCAGCGCCCATGCTGTACCCAGCAGCGCCCATGCTGTACCCAGCAGCGCCCATGCTGTACCCAGCAGCTCCCATGCTGTACCCAGCAGCGCCCATGTTCTACCCAGAGCGCCCATGCTGTACGTGGCGTGGCGCTTGCAGTTGATTGAGGTTGGGTGCCCTTCCAGCTGTGCCCCTTGCCGCCTCCTGCTTGTTAGGGTGTGTTGTTGCACTGGTATGGCGACACTATGGCTTGGTCACCACGGCTAGCTACTCCTTGGATGCACTGGCAGGTAGTGCCAGGGACTCCACACACTGCTGCAGCTCCGCCTGCTCCTCTTGTGCCAGGCCCCTTGCTGAACACCTTTTGTCTACGTGGGTTGCGTTCTTGTCGCGAGGCCGCTGCTTGGTCGGCTACTCCCTCACGAGCTACTCCAAGGTGAGTTACTCCGTGGGTGCACTGGCAGGTGGTGCAAGGGACTCCACAAATTGCTGCAGCTCCACCCTCTCCTCTTGTGTCAGGCCCCTTGCTGACCCCCCCTTGTTCTTGTGGCGCGGCCACAGCTTGGTCACTAGGTCAGGCGCCCAGCCTGCAGTGAGCATTGGTGGCAGGTGAGGGAGGGGGAGGAGGGCGGCCAACAGGAGGGGGAGGCGGAAAGGGACGTGGGAGGAGGGATGAAAGAGGAATTGGAAGCAAAGTGAGACTATGTGCTAAACTGATGCCTGCTCAAAGTGGGACACAGCTTGCTTGCTAGGTTGTCGGCGTGCGGTGCAACACAGGGAGAAACCCAATGGTCGCACCTGTGGGATCCGGCAGCTGAGCGAGGGTTCTTGACACGACACGCACGTCCACTGCCCTCCCACCAGCCCTCCCTCCCACCACACTTCTCGGACTCGCCTCAAGCCCAGGACCTTCCGCCACCCCTTCAGCCACTGCCCTTGCACGGTGGAGAGCCCCAGGAGGGCAGCGAGGCGGGAGAGGCAGGGCAGCTCCGAGGGGCTGCCGGGCGGCACGATGGAGGCAAAGGGGATGACCGCAGCAGCGTGCTTCTTCCACCGGTGTTGGTCACCTACGAAGGCCTGCATGTGCGCCTTGATGCGCCTGCAGAGGAGGCAGGGTTGGTAGGGAGAGGGCAGTGTTGACAAAGAGAGGAAAGACACGCAATGCATGGTGGTCAATGCTCAAGGCGCCGGTGGTGGTTACGCAGGTAGGCTTGCATGTGCGCCTTGATGCGCCTGCATGCGGGGTGGTACGGCCAGCATATGGGCCTGCAGGTGGGCCTTGATGCGTTCAACGATGGTGAGTCTCAGGAGGGTAGCTGCTGGTAGCGGCGGTGGTCGCGCAGGTAGGCCTGCAGGTGGCCTTGATGCTCCTTCCCACCTCGCAAGCCACGAAAGTTAGCAGTCGAGCGTGAGAGCCAGCCGAGCTTCAACTTCCTAGAGCAGCCAGCAAGAACAGTGCTTCTAGGAACTTTAACTGTCATGCTTTTCATTGCAATATAGCATGAGACAATATAAATGCATGACAAGTACGTAAGAGGATGTTAGACTGTTGGGAGGACGGCGGGAAACCAAACCGATCGAGCGGGAAGAGCCGGAATGTGGGACTAGCGAAACCATCGTTGCTAACAACGGTAACCAGAAGGGATATTTAGCCAAGGGGCGGGGTAGGAACTGCTTGCTTGCTCGTTTGTTTTCACAACTAAGCATAATTTGAGCCTAGCGAACTTCAAGAGCTGAGAAACCAGTGATGCCAACCCCGCAAGCCACGAGAGTTAGCAGCCGAGCGTGAGAGCCAGCCGTCAACTTCCTAGAGCAGCCAACAAGAACAGCGCTTCTAGGAACTTTCAACAAACGAGCAAGCAATCGCGACTAGAAATGAACGATAGGTATCGCTTGAGTTCTGGACACAGATATTGGCGGGAAAATATCCAAGCCGCTCGAAGCTGGAGAACAAAAGCAAGCGTGACAGCAGAAGGATCAATGGAGGAAAGAAGGCACGCGACCTCAGATCCCGGCGAAATGGTGGCAACGAGGCTGACGTTGCATGCAGAGGAAATGCCATCGCCAAACACACTTCAAGAACGCAGATGGACCGCCCCGACTCAGCCGAAATCAGAAGTGGCAGAGCGCTTCACCGAAACCCACGGGATAGGACCAACGCTCAAGAACTACTTAATGCAGCTTGAAACGGTGAGGTACTGCTGGGAAAGAGACATACAAGATCCCGCGGAGTTCGTCCGTAGGATGGTGGTGACTCTAGCAGGGGAGGCAGAGACCTTCTACCGCATGGTCCATGTGAGGATCTAGGATCGAGCTCAGAAAAGAGAATGTGAATTGAATGATCCACCTGGGTACAACACGAGGCTATATATAGGCTCGACACAAGGCAGGTAACCCAGGTGTTACGCGAATGTTCTGAAGGTCGCGGAGCGTCCCGAACAGAACCTTCCCGAACTCAGTAGAAAGCAATTCGGTGGAAACCGAATAGGCTTGAGTTCGGTACACGTAACCTGGTTCGGTGCTATAACTATAAGAACATGTAGGAATGCACCTAACCTAGGAAATCAAGCATATCTATGCATGATAAAATAAACCCAAGCTAGATATAGCATAATAAAGTCTAGGCAAGCTAGCAAAGCCAGCATAAGCCGTCGTACTCTCACACGTCCCCCCCTCAAAGCTGGGTGACGTGAGATACACCCTGCTTGACAAGATAGTCCTTGAAAGCACGGCGTGCGTTGCCCATATCAGCTTCTGCAACCCAGCTGTCCTCAGTGGGGTCGTATCCCTTTCAGCGTATCAGGAACTCGAGGGTCTTGCCGCCGCGGCGCCGATGAGTGAGAACGCGCTCCACTTCGTACTCGGGTTCATCCTGTATGAGAACAGGTGGTGGTGGCGGTAGCTGCCGTCCCTGGAACTGTTGGTTGGGGTCCTTGTAGGGCTTCAGTAGCTGAACATGGAAAGCGTTGTGAAGCTTCCACGTAGTAGGTAAGCGCAAGCGGAATGTTACTGGTGTCATATGTGCGTCAACGTGGAAAGGACCACAGAAGCGAGGCCGGAGCTTGGATGATAGGTGAGACAGGTTCAAGTTGCGCGTGACGAGAAGCACCTGATCTCCGACTGCTACTGAGTGATCACGTCGCTGGCGATCAGCATACTGCTTCTGGGAGGTCTGCATCGTGATGAGACGTCGCTGGGTCTTCTCCCATAGCTGCTGCATGGTGGTGACAAAGTCATGTGCGGCTTGGACGTGTGCCGGTGTGGTCGGCTGCTGTGGTATAAGAGGTTCCCGTCCGTAGCACAGGAAGAAAGGAGATTTCCCTGTGGCCGCATGTGATGCGTTGTTGTAAGCGAACTCTAGGGTCGGTAACTGTGTGTCCCAGTGGCTGACATCGTCTTTGCAAGCTGTGCGCGGTAACTGTTCAACCACTTGATTGAGTCGCTCTGATGTCCGTCAGCCTGGGGGTGGTATGCCGAAGACATTGCAAGCTTTGTCCCCAACGGTCCCATGAGCTCCTTCCAGAACATACTCGTGAATTTTGGGTCTCTGTCTGAGATGAGTGTAGCGGGGATGCCGTGGATGGTGATGATGCAGTCGAAGAAGAGGCAATCAGTTGCTTCAGCTGTAGCTGTGGCGTTGGTCGTTATGAAGTGACCCATTTTGGAGGACTTATCGATCACTACGAGGATGGAATCATCTCCCCGTGAGGTCGAAGGAAGTCCTGTGATGAAGTCAAGGCTAACGACTTGCCATGGCTGCTCCGGTACGGGTAGAGGCTGAAGTAATCCTGCTTTTTTCTGCTTGCTACTCTTCATTCGCTGGCACGTGTTGCAAGAGGTGACGAACTGCTGCACGTTTGCTGCCATCCCGGGCCAGTAGTAATACTTTGCTATCCCTGCTAACGTCTTGTTGCTCCCGAAATGTCCCGCGTAAGTTACGTCGTGAAACTCCTCCAATAGGATCTGCCGTAGCGGGGCGTAATTCGGTACCCAAATCTTTCCTGAACCCTTCCTTACCGCTAAGTCTTTCTCCCACTGTATCAGCTTCTTGGTCTGTGCTGTAGCGATCTCTGCGTCCACGGAGTACCCATGTTGGAATAGGCCCTTGAGCAGAGGGTTCATCCCGTCGAGCTGGATGCCTACTACATGACCGGGGCGGCTCAACGCATCTTCTTTGTTGTGTAGCCTGGGCTTGTAGATGATGTCGTAGTGGAAGTGAGTTCCCAGGAAGTCCACCCACCGCACCTGTCATCGTGAAAGTGTCGGCTGCGACTTCAGGTATTTGAGACTGCAGTGGTCAGTATAAACTGTGGTCTTGGCTCCCTCTAGGTAACACCTCCACGCCTTGAAGGCTACGACGATGGCTAAGGCTTCCTTGTCGTGTATGGGGTAGTTCAGTTCTGCTCCGTGTAGCTTTTTACTGAGGTAGGCGATAGGCTGTAAACCGTGTCCGTGATCCTGCATCAGTACTGCTCCGACTGCCTGGTCACTTGCGTCTGCTTCAACTACGTAGTCCTTGTCTAGGTCCGGTAGGATGAGTACTGGTGCTGTAGTCAGTGTTGTCTGTAGCTGCTCCATGGCTTGCTGATGAGGGGTATCCCATTTGTAGGGCGTATCCTTTTTCAGTAGGTCGGTCAGTGGCGCTGCTATCTTAGCGTACTGCGGCACGAACCTGTTGTAGTAGTTGGCGAAGCCTAGGAACTGCTGCAACTCCTTCACGTTCTCCGGTACTTTCCACTTCTTGACGGCTTCGATCTTCCGCGGGTCCACGTGTACGCCCTCGTCACTCACCATGTGCCCGAGAAACTGCACCTTCTTCAGGGCGAAGCCGCTCTTCGACAGCTTCACGTAGAACTTGTTTTTCCGCAGGATCTCGAACACCTTCCGCAGATGCTCCACGTGCTCCTTCATGTTCTTGGAGTAGATAAGAATGTTGTCCAGGTACACCACTACGCACTCGTCCAGCAGGGGTCGTAAGATGTGATTCATCTCCGCCTGAAACGTTGCTGGTGCGTTGTAGAGTCCGAACGGCATCACCAAGTATTCGTAGGAGCCGTATCTGGTACGGAAGGCCGTCTTGTGGACCGAGTTGTCTGCCATCTTGATCTGCAAGTAACCCGACCGTAGGTCCAGCTTCGAAAAGACTGTTGCACCATGCAGTTGGTCCAGTAGGTCGTCTATGCGCGGTATGGGATATTTGCTTTTTACTGTCTGTTTGTTCAGTGCGCGGTAGTCGATGCACATCCGTAAACTACCGTCTGGTTTTGGAGTGAAGAGAACTGGTGCACCGTAGGGAGAGGTGGATGGGCGGATCAGTTGTCTGTCTAGTAGATATTTAATCTGTTTCTTCATGTCTGTCAGTTCGGTCGGACTCAGTCGGTATGGTGCACGTGAAACGGGTTTCGCACCTGGTTCCTCCACGATCTCGTGTTCGTGGGTGCGTGCTGGAGGTATGCCTGCAGGTAGGTCGTCGGGCATTATATCCTTGTACTGCTCCAAGACCTCCTTCACTGCTGCAGGTAGCTCTGCGTTCGGCTTCTCCTCCTCTGCTGCTGCCATAACCAGTGCTAGGTATCCCGTGTTGCTCTCGTTTACCGTCTGTTCAAACCATGCCAGTGTCGTTTTAGGAACGTTCCCTGTAGCCGTCCAGCTTCGTAGTGCTATCCGCTTCTCGTTGTTGTAGTTGCACACCTTCCTGTTGACCCAGTCGATCTCGGGGTTGAACCGCTTCAAGAAATCTCGCCCCAAGATGATATCTAAACCTTTGATGTTCGTGATCGGCAACGTCGGCTTCCACCTCAGCGCCCCTATATGCAGCTGCAGTGATGCTTCGCCGTGGATGGGAAGTTTCGTACCGTCCACCATCGTTGCCGTGAACTTGGTCTCTTCGGAAGATTCCCCAATTTTCTCCAACGTCCCGCGGTCACACACTGAGTGAGATGCACCGCTGTCCACCAGTGCCTGGAGGCGTCGTCCTTTGCATAACACCTCGAGGAGTAGTGGTGCCTGCTGCGCTGAGTAGCCAAAGAGGGTCTCATTGATAGGATCATAGGGTACATCAAAGTGAATACAATCCCTATTTC